CCGATACATAGGTTCTGATTACAATTAGGGATTGGAAAGCACCTTTGAATCTAGCCATACGTCGGGAGCGGAAACGTTAGAAAGCTTATTACTCCCTCGAGCTGGAAAACGTTTTTCTTCAGGGGGGGGGGCAACATCGAGGAAGCTCTCAATACTAGAGCGTATTACTCCGAGCTTGGTTCCTCTCCGAGCGGAATGGATGGGACCGCTATCTCGATGCTTTGTGTGTTCGAAATTTTTTTTGTGATTTGGTCAGGGGAGGTATTCTTCGAGCTGCTTGGGTGTGCCAATTCGTGTAGGGACAGCTTGCGTTGCCATACTCATCGTCGTACCTAAGCCAAGTTCATCTTGGAAGGTTGAGGGTTCGGAGTTCGACGATAGCGTATCACTGGACAGAGCAGGTAGTGACCGGTTTGAAGGGCTCCGAGACGGGGGTCGTCCACAAGAGCTGTTTGGAACCGCTGATGTTTCACGCGAAGCAGCGCCAGAACAAAGCCGACTATCGGAGACCGTTGACGAGAGCACCGCTCCAACCGAAGACACCCGGCGTCGAGGGTTATAGCTGGGCGGCTCATCAAACGGTTCTAAGATCAAACAGCATAACCATTTCATCATCTTCATCGTATCTTTCAATGTTATGGTTACTGTCAATCACTGTATCGCATCAGGTTTCGACACCATCGAGACGGTGACTTTCGGCACCGGACAGCAATCATGATATCAGTCCCTAACGCCTAGTATTTACATACGTATCATGTGAAAAACTTTCCGATATAAATGCAAGTGGGCTGATTCGATAGCGACTCTCAGGGACGACGCATCCATTTAGAAATCAGGAAAAGAATGCACGGAAGGCTATAACACGTAATGGAAGGCGTGAGGCGTTCGAGACGATGGAAAATTCGAGACAAGCGAACGATGTGGGAACTCAATAACGGAGGCAGAACAACTTCCGGCGTCGCCTGAACAAAATTATCATCGGAGAAAGCAGATTCGTCAGGGTAAACAATCGGCAAATCAATTACACATTTCTGGATATTCCCTTCCTCGGATATTTCGTCTGTTTCCGGAACCAGCCCTTCGACAACACTCCGATTCCGAATTTCCCAACGATTTTGTCTACCCCATATTTCCACCTCGACGTCTCTATTCCACCCTTTTGCTTCCCAGTTCCCCTCACGAAGAGCTCAGAGCATTATGGAGTGTGTCTCTCATACATTTTAAGGATCAGAGCTGCAGAGCGTCTCATGATCGGTTGGAATACCTCGAAAGACTCACCCACGTTGCCTGGTTTATGGTTTTGGATCATTTCGGCAAGCTTATGATTTCCAGCAATTACAGCGACCTGATAGGGCGTTTGGTTGGCGTAGTTGAGCGCCATGGCATCAGCACCCCTCTTAAGCAGAATTTTCAAGCAATCTTCCCGATCGTTCACGGCGCATACATGGAGAGGCGTATTCCCTGATGCGTTCCGAGCATCGATGCTGGCGCCATAGTAGAGCAATTGATCAAGATGGTTCGCCAAACCATGTTTACAAGCCTAGAAATTTTGGGGGAACCGTTGATATCTGTCCTCATCGACGATTGTCAGAGCCTAGAGATGGCATGATTGGAGTCTACGACGCTGTGAAAATGCCTTGGAGTCTTAGGCCTGAAATGCGGGCGAAACTCCCTCACCTGATGTACTTCCTGCCAGCCTTGGGGATCTTGAGCACCCGTCGCAGCGTGATCATGAAGAAGCATTTCAGTCAACTGTACATCGGCCCCGTGAATTATTGTGTAGTACAATGATGTGAGGCCTTTGGCATCTCGGTAGTTGGGCGAGGCTCCTAAGTCCAGCAAAGTCTGAAACAGAGAATGAGGCCTCAGAAAAACGGATTTCCCAAGAACGTGAACCCGATTGTGCAGCACGGCGGAGGTCAGCCTGACCTCGTCGAGACTGAAGAGGCGCGTCACAATGGGGCGCTCGAAAAATCGCGAGCCATGGACTCACTTTCAGAGCTTCGAGGTTGTTCCTTTCGACAGCTCGGTGTAATGCCGTACGGCCATCCTTGGTGCGGAAATCTACCAGGGCTCCGCCGTTGACGAGCGCAATGATCATTTTGCTCGGTGATTTCAAGGTTGCTGAGAGAGTGAGTGGAGTTTCGCCAGAATCCGGATCATGGAAGTTAGGATCCAATCCGCGCGTGCAGAGTTTGTTAACTTTCTCCACAGTTCCATTGGCCACGTTGTCGAGAAGACGCCGCAGGTTCGACTTGACGTTTGAAACGAGAAGTAATTTAAATTACGTGCTGGTATAAGTAGTTCTCTCGGAAAAAGTTCAGCGAGGACTCCTCCGCACCCGTCGGGGAATCCGCGAAATCCCTCACCCGAGTGTGGAGCTGCTTTATGTGCTTCTCGTCGACGTTCACCATACGGTACACTCTGCGTTTATAGCGAAGCTCCAGATACGCAACCGGGTCCATGAGAGGATAGTCGCTAATGGGACGCTCTTCATCGAGGAACTTTCCCGATTTTCCTGCCGGAGATATGAATTTACTAAATTACCGAGCCCTTTCGACCGGAGCAATCTTTGGCACTGTAACTTGATACCAATAAATGATCATCGACGATTTGTTATGAGCCGCCGGGAGCCTGTGACCGTATTTACCATTGACGGGTGGGCAGTATAAGCCATAATTGAAACTTTCCTTCAGCTCTTTCGGCAAAGATGACAGAATTGTTTGTTTTATATTCCAAATAAGTTCGTCACGCTTGACGTTGAAGCATTTCTGGAAGGGTTGAAACATTATCCCCCTCTGCGCTCAAGATGTTGAGCACAACGTCCTAAGAGCAGCTCGTGGATAGTCCGCAGAATTCAACGACGTGAGAGGCTCGCCGGAGGCAACCTACTTGCAGGACGAGCTCAGGAACGAATATCTGGAGTGGAATGTGGTCCTCATCGTTCTGAATCTCGCCAGCGGTGGAAACATCTGCCGACGGTGGCGGTAGTGGAAGCAGTCCAGAAGGAAGACCGAATGCACCTCGGTCGCTCCGATCCTGAGCATCCGCACTCATCGCGCTGCTGTCCGTCGATGCTAATCAGAAGAAGACGGGGAGAGCAACATTTTCCTGCAATATAGATTGAAGATTGGAATAGATGTCCAGCGCTGTGTGGATCATTCTCTAAGCAGCAGCAGATCGGAAGAAGGTAAAGAAAGCTCTCGCTTCCCTTCTCCCGTATCCGTATTGAATCTCGCCCCCACACTACTCGCGTGGAATGCACGTAATCAGAAACATGGATACCATGACTCTCGGAACCTTCCCGGTCGAAAGCGCGGCTTGAGACGATTTGAAAAACGGGTTG